TATAAGAAATAAATCAGATTTCTGAAAAAAACTTAAATAAACACAGATTACGAGTTTAAACTTACCTAAATATGATTTGATGATTTCTGAAACAACAATATCAAGCACAAACACAAACAGAGGAAAATTTTGATTTGATTTTTGAAAGACTGAACCAGAAATATGATTTATGAAATAGAAAATTTAGAATGAATTCTTTGGGACTTTGACTATTTTTTCATATAATAAAATAGAGAAGAAATCAGATCATCAGATGAATAATAAATCAAGCAGATTTCTGAATCAAACCTAAATTAACACAAGTTTCTATTGAAATCACCTAAATCTGATTTCTTAAATAACAACAAATCACACCCATATCAGTGAACTACTAAAACAGAAATTCAAAATCGCCTTTTGTTGTATCAAATTAGAGAAAACCATACTATATTAGAGAAATCGCTGCTTTATAGGACCAAGTCTCGACTGATAATGATTAAATTGAGATTTGAGACCTATAAAATATCGATTATCAACCGTAAAGAAACAAAAGAGAAATCCGTTCTTACTTTTTATTTATGAGAGACATATTATAGGTAGGAATTGATCTCTCCCAACACCAGCAACGCCAACAGGATTCTAGGCACGAGCGACGTTTGGTTTCTCTATGAGAAGATCAATGATTGCTTGGAATTGGCGCGTCTTCCATAACTTTCTCTCTCACGACGTTGGTAAACAGATCATCACCATGAGCTAAGTTTTTGGGACATTGTTATATATAATATACATATAACCAGTTAGACTATATTGATGCCCTCAATAATCTGCTGCCCTGGGCCTGAGCCCAAGTGGTTCATGTATGGGGTCGGGCCTGAGTTTCAGTATTAATTTTTAATGTCCAATATTCACAACCAAAAATTTTCATTTTTATTAAGGTAAAAACTTCCCAAATTATAAATCCATTCTAAGAAAAACCATTTGTTCTCAATTACAATAATAAATAAGAATCAGAGTATTATAATAAACACGGAATCCCTAATGCTACTGATAAGTGTGCACAGTCCTGCTTTCGCCTTCCCACGATCACCGATAGAACCTAAAACATAAACAACTGGGTAAGTACAAAGCTTAGTGAGTTTTCACCAAAATACCCCATACAACAAACATAATAGCATTCACAACGGGCCCACAATCATCGGATTGGAATTCCATGGCCCAATCTATCATCGAACTGCAATACCCAAAGTTTGTTGGCATGCCGCCTCATCCCAACTGTTCATCCCGAACCACCATGCCTACGATGTGCATCCGACCGACGCCAGGTATCTTGGCCTACAACACATAACATGATCGCCTCAACCTCAACCACTACTATAAGTCATCATATAAATAAACAAGGATCAAGTATGCACATAATCCATGAAATATCAATCATACGGTTTGCTACTGCCAACTAGACCTCTCACAACACACTGCCCCGCTACCAGCTAACCTCCATGGAATGTGTAACCATAAGTATCCAGAGGTCGGATAGCCACCCGAACAGATGATCCTACTCTACAGCCACAACCAAACAAGGAACATGCAACAAAGCCTAGACCAAGAGTTCTTAGGCTATCCTACATGACAACGTACAATACCTAGGACACTCCACTAGACGATAACCTGCCTATTGGTATTCTAACCAGTATACCACTACTGTTGCATCCTATCATGTCAAGGTATATATATAAACCTATCAGATCGCTACAACATAGCAACATCCTATACATAAGGATACATGACTAACTCTGCAAGGAATTTCTAACCATATGTAACTAGAGGTGAGATAGACACCCAGACAGATGATCCTACTCTAGAGCCACAACCAAACAAGGAACATGCAGGAAAGCCTAGATCAATAGTCCACAGTCTATCCTACGTGACTAAATACAATCCATAGGGCATCCTTCTAATAAATGATAACCAACACTAGTGGGCTGGCATTGGTGCCTTCGACCCACAGGTACTGTGAGGAGAACTCACCTGAAATGAAAACCCCGAAACACTGATACACGTTTCCATTTCTGCACTGCTTGCTCCTGCGAATCCACTAATCACCAAAACTAGGTAAAATCTTAATCCATAGTCCAAAACCCTCAAGTTTGACCAAAAGTCAAACTTGGTAAAAAAGTCAACAGTAAAAAAAAGTCAAAGAAAGTCAAAGACCAACGCAGGGTGAGTACGACCAGCGTACTCTAACCTACGCTCAGCGTACATGATTTAAGCCTAGTACGCTCAACATACTCAAGCTGGTGCCAATATTTCCATTAAACACTTTTCCATCAAGACCTTTCGTCCAACACTCAGATCTAGTCCCAAAATGACATCCTAATCATAAAGTTTCAAACTTTATATCCTTGCATGGCTAGAAAGGGTCCATATCCAAAACCCTTACTTATCATAAGATTCTAAGCTTCATAACTCATGCATGAATGGAAGAACAAGACCAAGATTGCATTTTTATGACTTAAAGTCCTCAAATACACCTGGAAATGCACCTCACAATCTCTAGAACAACTCACACTCAAATGGACCAATTTGTGGGAAAAAAAGGACATAACTTTAACATCTAAGCTAGATCTATCAATGGAGACATAAAGGTACAAACTTTATACTTTCTGAAGATGAATAAGGGAGGAGAACTTCTAGATCCAAAGTTGTTTCAAGCTTCCAAGCACTATCACTACCTTCTTCTTCCTTCAATGGCACCAAAAGCACACGTTTTGGCTCACAATGCTCAAACTAGGGTTAGGGTTCCAAGGGAGGAAGTTGGAGAGATGGAGGATGAGAATGGAAGAGGTTTAGAAGAGCTAAGGTGCTTAAATAGGGCTCAAAACCCCAGATTTAGGGTTTGGGATCTGGCCGCGTACGCCCCACGTACTCCCTTAGAGACACGTTTCTTTAGCAGCTAGTACGCCCAACGTACTACCATTCTTCTAATTCAACAAAAATTTTCAAACCACCACAACTTCTTCGCTTCAACTCTGATTTTGGCATTCTTTAAATGCACAAAAAGGTGTTTATGAGCCCCACAATCAAATCTAGTTATTTTGGACTAAAAACTTATCGAACTAAAATTCGTATTTCATGCAAGAAACACGGTCTATGAGTTTTCCTTTTTTACCCTTTTGGACCAATACAAAGTTCAAGGGTTAGATCTTACAACCATAATTATCACCTCCCAAAAGGTCTACAATTTACCTGCTTAAATCCCAAAGCCTTTACACGATCGATTTTCGGCCCACAACCTTGAAATAGGAAATGACAAGAAACAGGATGTTACAAATCTCCCCCACTTAAATTAGATTTGGTCCTTGAAATTAGTTATTGCTTCCACTTCTGGATGTAATCCCTTGAGGGTCCTTCAACCATGTCTCAAATATCTAATTCATCTTCATTGTACCATCTTCAACAGTCGACCATCCCTTAACAATTCTGCCAACCTAGAAGTCTTGGTGATACCACGCGACCTGAAGAAAACATCTCCATGCAACCTCTTAAAATTATGAAGGAATGAACCCCTTCCCTACTCGGAACCTAAAGCAACCGTCACATTAACCAAATTGACAGAAAATCTGTAGATTTGATCGGGTCAAAACCTTCTTGGCCAAACACCGTCATGCGAATCCCGCACATAAGTACACCATCGCGACGAAAACCAATTGGTCACATACTGAACTAGACCATGCTCCCACTC